TGATAGTGTAGCAGCAGTGCCTCAGGGATTATGGAAAATCACAACACGCATCTGGCACCAGGCTTTTCACCCCATGACCTTGTTCCAGCACCAGCGACTGTGGCCATTCTCTGGGATGCTGGGCCCAGATGTCTCACAACATTCAAATGTCCTTCCAGCAGTGGAACTGCTTCTCCCTATGTGGCTCAAGAACCTCCCTCAACCCCACTTGGTCCTGGGATTTGCCCTTCCCACCAGAGCATCAGATGTCAGGTATCGAGTTGGCAGTTGCAGACTCTGCACCACTCCTGCTGTTTGGTCTTAATGGAATTTAAACCTTCTCCTTTCTCTTTTCTCCCTTTTTAGTTCAGTCCCTATGGCTGTTTCCAATTTTCCACTTTCTCCAGCTGCTTTTGGGAGGTGCTTTCCCATATCCCACCATCCCTCTGTGCCTCAACCTCTCCTCCACAGACAAAAGTGCTCCCATGCCCTCTGCAGCTTCTCTCTTCCCATGTTCACCTCTCATGCTTGGGTCCCTGCTGAATTCTGTGGTTTAGGTTGTGCAGATTGTTGTATTAATCCTCAAATCAGTTTTCTAGGTGTGCAGGATGGTTTAATGTTGGTCTGGCTATACTCATGGATGCGGGACACAAAAAAACTTCCAAAGCTGTTCTGCCATCTAGGCTCTCCTAGAGAATCTTAAGCAGGCTCCCCACCCAGAACAGAGCCTGGTGGGGCTCTGATCCCATCACCCTAGGGCGTGACCTGAGTCGAAATCAAGAGTCAGATGCTTCACCAACTTAAACTTTGAGCTCATTTCTTTTAGGGCTGAATATTATTCCCATTGTCTGGATATCACAGTCTATTATTCATTCACCTAACAGGGCATTTGGTTATTTCCATGTTTTGCAATTATGAATAAAGCTGCTAGAAACATTAATGTGTAGGTTCTTGTGTATTGACATGAGAATTTTCAACTTGTTTGGCTAAATATCATGGAGGACCATAATTGATGGATTTATATTTTATAGTAAGATGTTTAGTTTTGTATGAAATTGAAAAACTTTATTCCAAATTCACACCAAACATTTGCATTCACCATAGCAATGAGTGAGTATCATATTCCCTCTTCAATCTTGCCAACATTTTGGTGAGAGTCATTTCCTATTTCATTCTAATATGGGTGTAGTAGGAGTAGTATACTGTTCTTTCTTTTTATTTTCTTTTGGTATTTTAAAATTTTTTTCAACGTTTTTATTTATTTTTGGGACAGAGAGACAGAGCATGAATGGGGAGGGCAGAGAGTGAGGGAGACACAGAATACCTGGAAACAGGCTCTGGCTCATCAGGCCTGGAGCCGACGGGCTGCCTCAACTCCCGGACAGCAGATCGCGTGACCTGGCTGAAGTCGGATGCTTAACCGAAAAGTCGCCACCCAGGTGCCTCTTGCTTTGTTTTCTTTTTTTTAATTAAGACTTCAATTTTTAGAGAAATTTAAGGTGATTTAGACAGATATCCCTGACCCCACATGCATACCTTCCTCCATTGCCAACATTCCCACCAGATTGGTATGTTTATTATAACTGATGAACCTATAGACTGACACCTATTATCATCAAAAAATCCAGTTTGCTTATAAGGGTTCACCCTTGGTATCATATATTTGTGGATTTGTGGACATATAATAAATTATATGTACCCATAATGATGGAGCCATACAATCTTTTGCCCTAAAATCATTCCTACCATGCTGTTCATCCTTCCTCCACCCACAACCCTGGCAACCACTTATCTTCTTCTCACTCTATAGTTTTTTGCCTTTCCAGAATGCCATATTTGGATTCATACATAAATGTATTCTTGTCAGATTGGCTTCTTTCACTCAGTAATAAGGATTCAGATTCCTCCTGGTCTTTCACAGCTTGATAGTTCAATTTTTTTAGGACTAAATATTTTATTCCTGAATATACCATGGTTTGTTTATCCATTCACTTACTGAAGAAATTCTTGGTTGCCTCCACAAATTTTGGCAATTATCAATAAAAGCTTCCATAAACTTCCATGTGCTGGTTTGGGACAGACCTAATTTTCACTTTTGAATAAATACCAAGCAATATATTTGCTAGATCATAGATCAGTAAGAGTGTGTTTAGTTTGTGAGAAACTGCCAAACTGTCTTCAAAGTGGCTGTACTATTTTGCATTACCCACTAGCAATGTTTAAGAGTTCCTGTTGCTCCACATGCAATGATTTGATGTTGTCAGTATTCTGCACTCTCTGGTTACATTCTGATAGGTAAATAGTGGTATCCATCATTGTTTTATGACATTCCCTGATTGTGTTATGATAGGGAACACCTTTTCATGTGTTATCTGCCATGTGCATATCTTCCTTCCTCTCTAAGAAATGACATCTCACAATATTAATTGTCTTCCTCTCCTTAAACATTCAATGGTTCTCCGTTTATATTGTTCTTCTTTGATTTTCTTTCATTATAATTTTATACTTTTTTCCTCCTAGAGATCTTATACATATTTTGAGATTTATATACCTAAGTATTTTTTGTTAGGGAAAGTTAGAGATAATATAAAGTTAGCATTGTGATTTTAATTTTGAATTGTACTTGCTCATTGCTGGTATATATGCTAAATTACCTTTTGTAATTATAGTAATCTTGTATCCTGCAACTTCTATATTTCTTATTAGTTTTAGGAGGTGTTTGGGCAATTAGATTTCCTACATAGACAACTGTCACCTGTGAACAAAGATCGATTTATTCTTCTTTTCACTGTTTAATGTTTTATGGTAATTTGTTAGGATGCCATAACAAAAAACACCCGTTGAGACAGGATGCCTTAACCACCAATTTTTTTCTCCCAGTTCTTAGAAGACTGGAAGCCCAAAATCAAGGTGTCCTAAGTGTAAATTCTGAGGCTTCAGCCCTTAATTTGCAGATGTCTTCCCATCTTCAGATGGTGGTCCCTCAGTGCATATGCACCTCTAGTGCCTCTCTGTGTGTCCTAATATTTTCTATAAACACACCAGCCATCTCAGCCACATAACCCAGCTGTAACAGTCTTTTAGATTATTTCTATGAAGGCTCTATATCTCCAAATATAGTCACATACTGAGATACTGGGGGGGTCAGCTTCAACACGTGAATTTGAGAGACATCATTCAGCCTATAATACTTTTATGTCTTTTGTCTATTACATTTCTAAGACACCAAAAAAAAAGAGTGCTGAAGAGATATGGTGAAGGGGACATCTTTGCCTGATTCTATCTTAGTGGAAAGTTTCTGTTTCATCATCATTAAATATAATCTCAGTTGTTAGGTTTTTTAATAGATGTTCCCTTTCAAGTTAAAGAAATGCCTAGTCCTAATTTGCTAAGAGTTCCTTAACTTTTTATCTGTTGGTACCATCACCAGAAACATCTTGACATGACCAAAATGGTGAGACGCCTCCCTTCATGTACTCCCCTCACCAAGCAATTAATTAGTTCTGTGTAACTAACCTACAATTTTCAAATCACCTTTTTTTTCAATTACATTAGTATGCCTTCAAGCCCACATCAATAACATGAACTGATATAACAGCATACTGACTCCAATCTTATCTGTAAATAGATCTTCATTGGCAGCATAAAGAGAACTTTCCCTTTGCTTGTCTTGCTGAGAAAACACCTAAAATCTTAATTTTGAAATCTGTTGTATGTTTACCTTTTGGCATAAAACTGTGTGGATTTGGATTACTTGTGCATACAAGGATGTGATTGTCACACTGAATTGTAGGCTACCTAAAGAATATAATATTCTTTAAATAATAGAATAAATATAATAATTTATTTACTTTTATATAAATATAATATAATATAATATAATTAATATAATATATAAATAAGGTTATTTATACCCAAGCCTACCATAAGACATTAATATATAAATAATGTCAATAAATTAATCAAATATATAAATATTCATAGCATAGCTGAGTAAATTTTGGACAAAACACTATGTTAATGACAACTTGCTTTATTCCTTTTATTAAATATTCTTCACAATAATTAACCTAGAAACAATGTATGATAACCCAAATTGAAGCAATGATTGCTCAAAAATGTTTTTGCAAAGTTTCTATCTTCCTTTTTTCGTTCTTTTATATTCAGATTTAACAACTAACAGTGTCTTAGAATACTCTTACAATGCCTGATCATTTGATGTAAAATTTCAAATTAATCTTTATACCAAAGATTATGTATTATTTATTTTTTGTTATTATCACTTCCTCTTGACATAGTACACATCACTGATTCAAAAGAAAATTCAATTATTACATAAAATGCTAAAACAAAGTAGTTATAATTGGAAAACATATTATTTTAAAAATAAGTAGGATATTCTTGTCAATATTAGTGATTATGTTTATGAAGGAAGGAGAAATTCCAAACAATCAGCTCACAAAACATTGCTTATACACTATATTAACAGAAAAGTCGTGCTCAGCAGCAAGCCATTAAAGAAGTACAGATCAATTTTGTGAAACAGAATGTTATTCGAGATAGTGGGAAGGATTATTGTGAAAAATGTTTCTCTAACACCCAGGACATCTCCAATATCTGAGACATTCAAGATGAACAATGTTCCAGGTACCTCACCAGAAAACAGTTACAATAAGATATTTATGATGTTTAATGCAATAACTTTCATTAATGGACACAAGGAGTATGAAAGAAATAGCCACAAAATCAATGGAGGAAAAAAACAATAATCAAAGAATAGGATTTTTCTTCTCCAGAAGTTTTTTTAGAGCTTCTTTGACATCTTGTTTCTCAGAGGGAGTAAATCAAAGGATTCAACATGGGAGTGACTAGGTGTGTAACAACGAGGCCACTTTACCAGCCTCAGCTCAGGAAATCTGTCAGGAGTGAGATACATAAAAACACAGCACTTTTCTGTACAGCACACTCACGACTCAATTTAGTGTGAGCTGCAAGTGGAGTGAAACTTTTCTTATCGTCCCTCAGAGGAGAGATTCGCGTATCTTGAGAACTGTGGACACAATATACAAGTAAGAAATAATAATAACTATGATGGTAGGCAAGATGATGATGCTGGATAAGGAAAAGGAAATGATTCTAGAGATGAAGAGGTCAGAACAAGATATCCTCTGAAGTGGGCGAGTGTCACAGTAAAAGTGGTCTATGGCCCGAGAACCACAAAAGGACAGAGTAAATGTTATGCTTGTCTGAAGAACCGAGCTGATGCAGCCACATAAATAGGAACTGGCCACCAACTGCATGCAGAGACGTGCTGACATCTGGACAGAGTAGAGGAGTGGGTTGCAGATGGCAATGAAGCGGTCATAGGCCATGGCTGCCAGGAGAAATCCCTCTGCCACAATGAAGAGGGTAAAGAGAAAGAGCTGGGTCACACAGCCTGCAAAAGAGATGGACTTGCTCTCAGACCAGAAGTTGATCATGGCCTTGGATGCAATAACAGACGAATAGAAGAGATCAATGAAGGACAGGTTGCCTAGGAAGAAATACATCGGTGTGTTCAGCCGGGGATCGGTCATAATAATGGTCATCATCCCAACATTCCCTAGGAGGATCATGGCATACACAAGCAGAAAGACCAGGAAGAGGAGAGTGTGGAGCTCAGGGCAGACCCTGAAGCCTACAAGGATGAAGTCAGTCACTTCTGAGTGATTGTCTGGTCCCCTGTCACCCATGGCAGAAACCTGCTGAGAGGCACAAGGAAAAATAAACAAATGATTCTGGGTTTTGAACATAGCCCTTTGACCATTGCAGAATTAGGATTACAAAGCCATTGTATAATCATTATTCTTGTTAACTTTATAAAATTAATGTGACTTCACTTTAAGCCATTGAAACTGAGGATGAATCAAAATGTTAGTTTTATGTCCTTCTTTCTGCAATGGTGGATTAGATGTTTTCCCTTGAATCTAATACAGTTTCCTTCCACCCAAGGGCCTTTCACATTTGCAAGTATCACTTCTGTGTATGTTTCTGACTCATGATTTGTGCAATAAATTCATTGTCATGAAAAGGTGACTGGAAAGAGACCACAAATAATTTAATACATGACATTTGGGAAGGAATTACAGTGTCTGCATTTGGATATATTAGGGGATTTAGTAGCCTCCTTCAGAAAACCCTATCTTTGAGGACTTATATTACATGTAAACAGATCTAGAGAAAGTGAATGACTTTAATAAAAATTACTTAAAAGGTGCAAATACTTTTTGTAGGTAATGGAAACTTTGAATTGTGGTATAGGTTATTTGCTCACTAAGATCAAAGTTGTGCACACATAAACACAAATATTATCAGGACTCATGTGCTAAGATGTCTCTCCCAGATGGGCATCCATAACCCTTTCATAAGAATATTTTCCCTGCATTAACTCAGCCTGAATCTCAGATTTTTTTAAAGAAGAGACCTCCAGGTAGTGTAGATGGAAAATACTGAACAAAAGATACATATGAGGGATTTTTGACTGTATTCTTCTTTACGCTGGATATGACTTTCATAGTTGTCATACCTCATTTACTAGACAGCTCAACTGAGAATTTGAACTGCTTAGAGTAATAATATGGCAACTTTTTCAGCCTAAATAATAACAACAATAATAATAACAAAAACAACGACAACAATAATGTTGCACTTTTGGCCTGCCAGCCACTTTTCTAAATGCTTTTTAGTAGCTCATTTAATCCACACAACAATAATATGAGGTGAGTACTATTATATTCCAGAAGAGGAAACTGAGATCCAGAGAAATTAAGTCTGTTGATACCACTTACTAGGCTCAGAATCCAAATTTGTAGAGTAAAAACTTGGCTCCAGAATCCCTCCATTTTCATTCACTGCAGGATACCACCTTTTATAATAAGCCCTTCTGGTTCCTTTAGGTGACTTCTATTTGTACCTCAGAATTCAGTTAAAGTTTCTTATCTCCAAAATAAATTCTCCAATTGTCAACCTAGGTTAAGACACTTCTGCATAGATCATGCTCCCAAGG